GGAACACAATAATCTAAGCCTTCATTTTATCAAAACAAGGGAGATTATATTTTGGAATCAAAAAGAACATGTCAAATTCTATCTGCACCATGAGAGGAGGTGGAGGTGGTAAGCTTAGAAGGGAGGCTTGCTCTGTTCTGGGAACTTCTTTGGAGCTTGTGGAGATGATTTCACAAAGACTTCATCATAAAATGAAACCTTAGCATCTTTTACGAAGACTGTTAAACACCAACAAAATGTCTTATCTAGATCAGGTGCAAGAAAGACCTTCACAGAGGATCCTTCCTGACATATACAAGTTGAAAAGTAAAACTGAGTTACATCAACATTTAATTTTGTTGGAAATACAATGTATTTTTAAATCAAACAAAAGACATTAGTCCATTTGGTGGCTGAGATAGGGCCATTGTATTTCAAGTTGTCAGAGTTTGAAGATGTTTGAGATTAATCATAATTTAATTCTAAATTTACAGATTGCCCAGAACCACAGAGTGTTATGCCTATCATAATTGGATCCATTGCTGCGGTGGCTGTAATTGGGATTCTTCTGCTGATGCTGATCAAGTTTTTATACTACCTGAAAGACCTGAAAGAGTTCAAGAGGTTTGAAAATGAAAGACAGAAAACCAAGTGGGATGAGGTTAGTTGTTTTGCTATTTAGTAGAGATTTAAACCAGTTTCAAAACATATAGTTTTATTTTAAGGTGCATTTTAATTTATCAAGTTTATACACACACAAACATTCTAGTTTGATCATAGGAAGTGAGGACCATATATTGACTCTCTATGACATCCACAGATTTTTTTTTGTCATTTTCAACCCTATCTGTGCCATAACCTTAATCCGTTACCAGTGCATATCTAAACTTAACTAACCTAATTGGCAGCTTAGCCCTGAATCTGATCGTTAGCAAAATAGTGCATGTGGACCAGCCAAAATGACTTCACTTTGTAAAAATATCCACATTCCAAAGGTTTAAAACTGAAAATGGCCCTCAGTCTTATTCTAGAACAGCACACACACATCCAGTTTCTCTATTCCACTGAGGACTTTCCATTGATTTCCATTCAATGGATCCTAACATTACGGGTACCTACGTAACCCAAACATGAACTCCAACACACCTTAGTCCTAAACCAAACACCTAATCCTAAAACAGTAATCTTCCCCAAGGGGACCTGGCAGTATTTTCAGTTGGATGGTGTAGCGTTTTAACACAAAATGGTCTCCACCATGTAAGAAAAAAGACCACACATGAATACACACCCATACACTTATGTAAAAAGTTATTTGTATATATGTGTTTTTGAATAAGGTCCTGTGTTTTCCATTCTCATGATAGGAAAACATCTCATGTAGATAACTAAATTTACATCAATTTAAATAGTTTTCTGGCAGGTTCCACCACTGTGAAATACTTGAACATTGGTCAAAATATACCAGAGAATCTCAGCAGCCAAATGTAATTTTACTCACCATTCCAATAGTCTAGCTATAAAAATATCCATTACAACTAAAATGATAGTATTGATCTCTGAGTTTATAACGGTATAGGTTTATATCATTTTGTTTCTTTTAGGAAAACTTTTTTTTTTTCAAGCTTCATGTCCAAATATGGTCCTGGCTCTTACTTGGAGAGGTTATTTCTTCCCACCAGCCATGGGTCAAAGTAGAAACTATGAACTGAAACTATGAACTGCCCTGTATTTGTGCAGTTTCTTCTAGACTGAAACCAAGATTATCATTGCACAGCAACCAATCTAACTAAAGGTACTTTCTTTATACCAGATCGACAATCCACTGTTCCAGAATCCCACTACCACTGTGGCTAACCCTCTGTTTACTGGAGAGAATTAAGACCCCTGCTTCAGCGCTTCAATCGATATTTATTCAGAGCTTTTCTTGGAGCAGAAATGCTCGCGTTTATATGACTTTGTGATTATATATAATAGCAAACTTGACTCACCTTGTATAACGACTGATAATTATAAAGAAAGAAGTAAGCTGGTTTTGTGAAGCTGATATTTACTTGTATGTATGCTGTTTTTAGTTGACAATGACGAGTTTTGATGTAGCAATGAATTATTAGCAAAGACTACACTGATCAGCAGAGATGGGAAGTAACGAAGTACAAATACTTCGTTACTGTACTCAAGTAGATTTTTCTGATATTTTTACTTTACTTTACTTCTTATTTTTATGGCGACTTTTTACTTCTACTCCTTACATTTTTACACAAATATCTGTACTTTCTACTCCTTACATTTTAAAAAATCGGCTCGTTACTTTAGTTTTGAATAATTTCAATGGAGTTAGCGTTATTATTTTTCACGTCATCAATACCAAATTCAATCTAATTGGATGGGAATCTACGTTGCATTTGACGCACCACTACAAGATGAATCGACAGATTCGGCGGTATTCATTGGCGGCAAATCATTGCAGCTTGGTGGCGGTGGCGTTAGCATAGTAGCATGGACGACGAGATGATTGAAAATGAACACAACGGAGATCTAGTCCTATTGGCAGACATCCATTTAAAATGTAGGCAACGGCATGAAAAAAGTGGTTTCTACTTTTACTTTTATACTTTAAGTAAATTTACAAGCCTGTACTTTGTTACTTTTACTTGAGTAAAGAAGTTTAATCAGTACTTCCACTTTTACCAGAGTATTTTTTAACACAAGTATCTGTACTTTTACTCAAGTATGGAAAGTGAGTACTTTTGCCATCTCTGCTGATCAGCCATGTGAATAAGACCTTAAACTGCCTTAAACTGATTTGACCCCTCTCATGTCACAAACAAGTCTTACAGTTTTTTTTTTTATGTCTTAGCTGAATAAAAACTAGAATAAAAAAAAAAAAAAACATTTTTATTTTATTAATATCTCATAAGTGATCATGCTTTTTATGTAATCAAGAAGAGGTCCAATTAAATTCTTAGCTTTTAGGGCTGCTAGACCATAGTACGTCTGCCAGAGTGGCATACTGATAAGGTAACTAGTATGACATAAGTAGAATAGTACTGTTTGCACAATCTACTTGGTAACATTTAATGCCAACAAAATAAAGGGATTGTTTAGTTCAAGTGTTTGTTAAAGGTTACCTTAAAATCATCACCTTTTGAGGGGAATTGTTCGGAAAATTATCATTGATGATTACACCCCAATACCTGCTTGTTGAGTGTCAGAACTGATGTTTTCCCCAGTAGTTTTTTCTAATTAGAACAGTTCCTCTGTGTAGATATACAGTTATAATCTTCATTCTGTACGTACGATAGGGGCGACAGTGGGGTCGGATGTAGGAGTTTGCCCTGAAATCGAAGGATTGACGGTTCAAGCCCCGGCTCCGACTTTCATTGCCGTTGTGTCCTTGGGCAAGACACTTCACCTGCATTGTCTACTGATGGTGGTCAGATGGCCGCGCCAGTGTACGGCAGCCCCGCTTCTGTCAGTGAGCCCCAGGGCAGCTGTGGCTACAATGTAGCTGGCCACCATCAGTGTGTGAGTGAATGCGTGAATGAATGAAGGAATGTAGTGTAAAGCGCTTTGGTCAAGTTTCCTGATTTGAAAAAAGGCGCTATATAAGTACATGCCATTTACCATTTCATTCTGTACATGGCAAAGATTTGGGAATAAAATGCGGGCGGTGTCGTTCAGCTTCAGCTAAGAACAAAGTGTAATATTTTGATAAGGCTGTAGCCATGGATGTCTCCTAATCTGTATAAACGTGTATGATGTAATGATGTGATGATGTTGCAGACTGGAGATGTATAAAATCTTTCTTTACCTGTTTGTCAAGGCCACTTCACGTGTATGATGTAATGATGTGGCAGACTGGAGATGTATAAAATGTTTCTTTACCTGTTTGTCAAGGCCACTTCCCGATAAGGGAGCCCGGTCAGTAAAAAGCTGCCTTCTGTAACCCTGAGCAACTTCTCTGATCTGCGTGAGATTACAATTTCTACCAAAATCTGTTATCATGTCTCATGGTTATTTAATACATATACGTTATGAAGTGTTACTCAAAGAGTTTGTCCTGAGTGATCTCTTTTCAGGAAAAAGAACCAGAGAGAGGGAAAGCTTCAAGGTATGACACAAAGCTTTCCTTTAACATCAATTCATCAAAACATTCTGGCCTTAATAGTAGTAGCATTTTCCATTAATACTCACCACTCTGTTCTTTTTACATATCATTTACTAAATAGAACCAAAAAAACAAATCTTTTTCATCAGGGTGTTACCATTGGACTCTTAAAGCATGGAAAGGGATGACAAAACTTCTATAACTCTACTTCTTACTAAAAATGAAAAGTGATAAATTTAAATTGTTCTGCTCAACACAAAATGCATCAAAAATAGCAATAGATTTACAACTGGGGATAAAATGTTAAAACACAAGCTCTTAAATGTAAACATTGGCAAATTTCTTACAAATGCCAACAACATATTCCTGGCAAATACAACAAAAACTGCCTTTACTGACTTCAGTATCTCCAAATAGATTGGTTTTTATTCTTGTATTCTGACATAGTGGCAGATATACTTTCCTGTAGAATTACTGACATCTGTTTTTAGGATGAATTGGTGGGACATGTAAAAACTACGTGCTGAAACTCTAAGCTAGAAAAATTAAGAAAAATAAACAAACATGTTTTAATCAAAAAAAAATATATCCATTACAAATTTGGGCTGTATTTATTTGGGATAGTACTTTCTGACAAATGATAAGTCAAGTGAAGTCTCTTCTCATAGTACTTTGTTTTTAGAGTGGCAATGGCAAACCAAGCAGTACACAGCAGACATGTAACTAACTGTCAAAGCTCTGATTTATCTTGGACAAAAGAGTAGCGTTGCAGTTACTGTTCAAAGTAACTGAGTAAGAGATGTTTCCATCCCACTAAGAATATCTAAATGCAGACTTAAAGGCTTTCCGGGCTGCAACTTGGCTCCTCTGAAAGAATTGTGTGTCAAGACACAATAAAAGGCAAATGATTGGTTAAACCAGACTTTAATTAGTTTAATCAGTAATGGGAACAAAATCAGAAACGGCGACAAAATGATTGGCCTCACACAATCAAAACAATAACCATTCAACCATGTTATATTTAGGACTTCTTCAGTGGTCCTAAGCTCAGATAGGACTAAATTTACCATTTTTATGTTAACATGCAGACAAAGTGCAGGACCAAAAGTACTTAAGATGGAGAAAGCAGAGTAAGGAAAAAGAAAGAAAATACATCAAGTAAAATCCAAACCAAGGGGTTGGAGTACTACATCTGTTGGGTGGAGTTCCCATTCCAGGTATTGTTGTCTTCATCTTCATCCTCCTCTGTCCGCAGTCTGCAGATTTTACCTTCTTTCTTGAAGTCTTTAGGCCGCATCTCCAAATTTTGCTTGGTGGGAATTTCTCTGAACACAAAAGCATAGAGGTTTGGAACAGAACGAAAATTATCCAACACGAATCCAAGATACTGCTTTGTATTTTGTAATAAAGAAACTGTTACAATTTGACTTCTGCTAACCAGGGTGAGGTGAAATTACTTGTGCTTTCCAGAAATCAGATCATTATTTATTTTATTGATGACAGAAAACACCTAAGGTCAAGATTTCTCCTTGTTGAAGATTGTTAACGGACTAAACAAACCTTCACTGTTATCCACCATCTAAGACAAAAAGGGAGGTGTATTTTTAATTTAATCCATCTTCTGTGGCCAGTCTTTAGAACCAATTTGTATTTTCCACCTGATCCAAAAGTAATAATTTAGTATTTACAGACTATGTTGAGACAGGAAAGTTTAATGTGTACTTTGACTTCAATTCCTATTTAATGTTATATTTCCAGAGAATAAAGAGAAAAGGTTATTGTTTAAAAGTAATGTTACTGTCACTGACTCTAATCATAAAACAAAAATTGTCAAATTAAAGTACATGACACAAATGTAATATTCTATACAAGCATCTGAAAGGAGTGGTTTGGATTTGTGTTCATTTGTGTTCAAAATTATAAATCTAAACCCCTCCTATACCAGCTGTGTGTTTTCAATCTCGATGTGAATGAAAAAGCAGCGCTTACATGGAAGCCTAAGAGGTATGTAAGAGAACATTATACATTAAAAGGTTTAAAGCAGAGTGTAATTTTGGTGGAGCTGCAGAGCCCTCCAGGTAAACATTAAAATCAGAACTATTAATTATGCTTTCCACAAATCTGGTCTTCATATTGCAGGAAAACTAAAAAACGTCCCGTTTGGCATGCTTCATGTGTAGAAACAGACTGTTTTATATTGAGATTATATTAAAAAGACACCCCCCCCCCCAAATGTTTTATTTTTAAAAAAGAGAAAAAAAAAACACCATCTATCTGATTTTTTTTTATATGTGACTTTGTGTGAGTATCAATAAAACCCTGATCTAATAAATTGATGTTTGAGGCTGTTATGTCAAAAGGTTTCAATTAATATAGACTTCTTTTGTCCCAAAGGTAATTTAACTGGTAATGTAACTCGTCTCGGTTCCTGTAGGAGTTTAGATTTGCTTGCTTTGATTCAATTTGACGCCAGACTAGAGGACAGGGGTGCTGGTCCTTGTGAAAAACCTCATGTGACCAAATATTTTCTTTCGCTGCCTTCTAAACAGGCTGAAGATTTGTTCTTCAACTTCATATTTTCAAGGTATACTACCTGAACAATCATAAAAGGCTTAAATTGGAAGGCAACCGGACATTAGCTCAGTGTTTTTGAAGACATTTCAACACCTATCCAGGAGTCTTTGTCAATTCTGTTGGCTCGCACTGATTGACAAAGGCTACGTTCACACTGCAGGCCCTGATGCTCAATTCCAATTTTTTTGAGAAATCCGATCTTTACGCGTTGCCGTTCATATTTCCAAATATATGCGACTTGTGGTCTCCTGTGTGAACTGCAGCCATACAACGCAAGTGTCCCGCATGTGCAATAGTGGACGCAATGACATCACAGGCCAGCGTGCTCTTTTTTTTCCGGAAGTGAACATGGATGGTAGTGCCAGCGCGCATCTAGCGGCGTTTTCCAACCATAAAAACACAATCTTTTCAAGATGGTTAAACATAAATACTGCTCTCCACATCATCATCTGCCATGGTTGTTGTTTTTCTTGCCGCTTCTGCGTAGCAAGACGCAGAATACTGACCTTTGTCGGGTATAAATGACGTTCAGGTCGGATGAATGCGACCTGGCCGTTCAGACACAAGTTGCATTTGAAAAGATCAGATTCGTATCGGATTCAGGACCACATAGCCAAGTGGCCTGGGTCAGATTGGAAAAAATCGGATCTGTGTTGATTTAGACAGATCAGATCCTGGTTGCATATGGGCCAAAAAAAATCTGATTTGGGTCACTTCAGGCTGCAGTGTGAACATAGCCATAGACTCCTGGATAGGTGTCGAAATGATCTTGAAAAAAAAAAAAAAAACGTCCCATTTAAGCCCGTTTCTGGTTGCTATGACCCGGGCGAAAGAGAATTTACACAGGCATACATGAACAATACAATGAACACCACAAAAAAAAGGTTTTTAATCAACACTTTTGTTTCCATGACTGGAATGAAAGCCTCGTGCCAAGAAATGAGAACAGGATGTAGGAAGTGAATGCACTGTTAGATACGCTTATAGATGTGGCTGTGTTCATAGTTCGGTAAAAATCATTTTTTGCCTTCAGATTCCTTCTTGCACAAATCTGCATTCTGTGGAAGCTGATAGTGGTCGTATTAGACTTTTTTTTTCTTTGTCTTCTCAAGATAATGATATAATCATTGGTTATCAGGGTTAAACCATTGACTATATCGAGATAATTGTCTCATTATTACGAGAAAACAGTTATTGATCTCTTGAGATAACAAGATAATTAATCTGAGTAATGAATGAAGCCGGCCAACAGCCCAGGATTCCGAGTCCATCCAGTCGTGGCACCGCGTGTGAACAAATGATCTGTTTTTTAGTTTCACTCATTGTCAGGTCATGGTGGCTGATTACATAAGAAACAAATCAGACAGTTTTTTTTAATTAAAATCTTTAATCTGGACTCTTTTTGGGGGTTAATGCATCTTATAGCTAATGCAGGTGTAACAGGTATAAGATTAATCAGAATTTGAAGCAAATCATCAAACCAACAACGTTGTCTCATTACCTAAAAGTTAAACACAGGATTATTTATAGAATTACACGTAGGCTGCCATGACTTATACTTATAAATCCTCTCCCACTGTTGTGGTATTGAAGGATGTTATCAGTTTTTAACAAACAAAAATCATCTCGTTATCCCGAGAAAACGGCTTTCATTATCTTTAGATAATACAGTAGCTAAAACTGATAACTTGGTTTCTCACCTCTTAGCTTGGTTAGGGGAGGAGTTTGAGGCATTACGGTCCGCCTGCCCTCTGGATGCTGATGCTGAATAAGGTGTTGCAAAGAGAAAGGAGCTGAGAAACCTCCATACAGCAAGCAGAGGGTAAAAGACTGTACCCAGAACGGCCCAAATGCCAAATCCAGAAGACGGGGTAACAGAGCTAGCAGGCCTTCGAGACTGAAAGAAAAGAAGGGGTAGAGTTACTGTAAAAACACAGAATCAAAAAATGAATCGATGTCTGTTTTTCTTTGTTGTACGGTAACATGGTAAAATAAGATAGTTTGCCTCTTAATTAAAAAATTTCAGACTAACTTATACAGACATAACAGGCATGAATATATATTAACTTTAGGCTTAATGATTTTCACTTTACCATCCATTTCTCTGAATTAATCGTTTAAGAATTTGTCCACTGGTGGCTTGAATCCAAACAAAATAAACAGGAGCCAAATGCAAGCGGGATGTAAAGGCACTTACTGGGAGAAGAACAATGGAAGCACTTGGGACCAATTCCAGCTCCAGCAAGGTTCTGTTCAGGTCTTCACTGGAGAACTCTCGCCGAGGATACATGGTTGCTAATGAGAAGTTCCCATAACGATTCCCTATTTCCTGAAAGAGAAGCAAAAATATTTAGCTCTAATATTAGATGCACAATGTTGACTCAAAAATCTGAATTATTCATTCATCCATAAACCCAGATTAAATGAACAATGACTGTTTGAGATGCAGAAGAAGCGTCCCAGTGAGAGCTCTGATAAAGAAGCTGCGCAGGGAGCTAAATACTGTAAAAGGCAACAGAAAGGAAAAGAGAGGAATATGATCATGCATGGTCTGTGTGAAATAGGAAGACAAACCTGGTAAGCAAAGTTCCAAGCCTCCTGGAGTCTAGATTGTGAGGGAAACTGGTTGGTGAAGGAAGAACCATCTGGAAGTCGAAACTGTATCCTCGAAATGGTGCTGATTAACCCCAAACAAACAAAGAGAACATGCACAAAAATAAAACACCTTTCACAGAAGCAGCTGATAGAATTTTGCAAACAATGTTTAGGTGTTTTATTGTTCAAAATCACTTCATATCCACACATCCTGAATAATAAAAAGAAACAAAACCACTGGGGTAACTTCTATCATTAGTTGTGTGGCGGATAAAAGTCCTAAATACCTTTCTGTTATTAATTGTGTTTAAAAGCCTCTTGGCAGCAAAAGAGTCACAGCTACAAAGTCAAGTAGGTCTGTAAATTTGCTAAAAATATTTAGGCTATGAAAGCTATAAAAAGTTGAGGAATGCCCCTTGCTACACCAGTGAGGTCTTAAGGGTGCTGGACAGCCGAAATGTTCTCTTTTCTCTGGAAAACAACAGCTGATGCATCGCCTGCTTCTTATTGGGCCTTCTGCTGTTAATATAATAAAACATTGACACACTGGGATTGGTGACACTCTTTAGATATTTATTAAAGATAATCTTATTCTTTAAGGATTAAAAAGGGAATTAAGTATAAAGTCAGTTTTAGTTTATGGACTAGGGTTGGGTTAGTTACAGGTAGTAATTACATCTCCTGATCAGTGAAAATAACTCATTACTAGCCAAAGTAACTATGCATTTATTTCTTATTTTTCTTAAATGTCACAGAATTTGGAAAACTTTGTTTTTATTGGAATTTTAAATATAATTATAGGTTCAATTATGAAATATAATGTGATTGTTATTAATTAATGAATAAAATAATTTAAAGGACTACACATCTGAAAACATTGAAAACTAATCTGCACTATTTTGTTGGGTGTGCAGTTTGACAAGCGAGTTGCAATATAATCATCTAGATGTGATAGTATGTTTCTCTTTTATAATAATGTAACAATAATAGGGATGAAGCTGAAAAATAATATGTTTCAAGCTATTTAACAAAAATAGAATATATACTTTTCAACAGAATTAAACAGAGGTTGCACTATTCCAAAAAAAAAATTTAAAATAGCAGGACTGAATGGATATTTGCGTTTGAAAACATAGAGCTGTAATGATTTAACTTACATAGTATGAGAAAGTAAAGAACAGGTGGTCATTAAAGTCAGCTGCTGTCAGTCTGTGCTAAGATCATGTTCCAGTTTTTGAAACCAAAGCTTCTAACCACAGTTTATAGTCTTTGTTTCAAGACATAATCAGCAACTCACACAATCATTTAGTCTCCAGTGAGCGCTTTTCAGTGGGAATGCTGTCATTCATTCAGGGCTCTGCGCCATCATCTCTTCTGTTCATGCTAAAGTTGCGCATCACGGTTACGTGCACCACGTGTCCTAAAGCCGGGCATACACTATGCGATTTTTTTCAATTGTTGCACGCAGCTACAGCTCACATTGTACGATTGTTAGTACAATGCAAGTTCACAGCTCACAAAGTATGTACAACCGGATGCTCTGTTGCGATCTACGTGCTCACACTGCAAGTCTAAAACCACGTCTGACTCAGCTCCACAGTGAGATGGAGCTACTCTGACTAATCTATCCAGAAGCCAAACCAGTAGAAGAGGAATAAGAAGCTCACTAGAGCGAAACGCGCTCTAGTGAGCTTGGCAATTTGTGCAATTTTGTGCTGTAAGCCCTAAAAAGAAAAGGCGACAACGTACTTGGACAAAGACATGGCTGAGTAAACGTGGCTACAACAAGAAAGAACTCCATTTCACCTGCACCCCGCCATGCTTCTGGGTTTATATCTGAGATCAGAAAATTCTCGCACAACTTGAAAGTCCCCACGAAAAGGGCAAAAAAAATCGCACAGTGTAAGCCCGACTTTACACCAGCAAACTTCCGTCATTATATATATACAGTAAGTAACGAACAACAAATCTGTTCAGAGGCCATCACGAGTAACTCATTACTAACAA